TTTCCTTTGATGTATTTGAAAGCGAGTAACTTGTCTCTCTGGAGCACATTTTAAGAACTTTCTAAAAGTAAACAAAAAAGAAAAGATGTCGGAGCTGGGCAAAAGCGAGCGGAGAAGAAGGGAGGGACTTCCGTCTGGGCGTTTGCTTGTGTGCGAGAGCCGGCTGTTGAATGTTTGGACTGTTTATGGCTGTGAATCCGACGGGAGTTTTGTAAAACGGAAAAGTTTGAATTGTGACAGCGAGAAGTGCCTGGCAAGCGCTTATATAAGTCAACAATTGCGAGGAGGACCCATAGAGAGTTTGGGAGCGGATATAAAAGCGAAAATGAAATTAATACCATTCTCAAAATTGGGGACCTCCGGTAATGGCATGAAAAGAAGAGGATTTATAGTGCATGAACTGAGAGTATTAACAACAACCCGAAGGAGGATCTAACAAGCCGGAAGGAGAAGACAACAGAGGAAGCTCCTCCATGTCAGCGATAGTAAAAGTACCCAGCACGCAAAGAAGCGGTTCTGAATGTGCACAGAAGAGATTTTTTTTTTATTAACAGAAATTCAAAGGAACATTACTAACATACTAACAGAGAATACATGTAACAGGACTAAGAAAAGAAGTTTGACAACACACAGAAGAAGCCCAAGAAGATTAATTGGACATTACTAACAGTTTAATTTACCAGTTTATATATCACTCAGCTTTCTCTTTCTCCCACTGTCTACCTTTCCCATTTTTTCTTTTAAGCGAAATACCTCCCCTTTTTAGGGGAGCCAGTAAAAATCTTTATTAAAAAAACCCACATCTTTTGGTGGCCCCTGGCCCCAGGGATGTCCGACTAGCCTTGACCGGGGCTTTCTTGGCCCTGACCCCCACCTGGTGGAATGAGCTCCTGTATGAGATCAGGGCCCTGCGGGATCTATTACAGCTACACAGGGCCTGCAAGACGGAGCTCTTCCACCGGGCTTCTGGTTGAGGCAGCAGACGTTCCTCCCCCCTCCTGGCCAATCTCCCACCAGTGGCCTGAATCCACTGGGGTACCCACTGTTGTATTTCAATCAGACTGACTGACATCTGATCTATGTGTGTTACACAGTATTTTATCATTCTATTCTGTTTTAAATTGTTATTTTAAAGTTGCTGTAATTGTATTATATTAAGATAGACATGAACCACCCTGAGCCAGCCCCGTAGCTAGGGATTTTTGGGGGGAGGGGGCCTTGGGGGGGCCCACCAGCTAATTACATCAAAGGCTCCAGGGCAAGGGGGGGTCTGCCTGACGTGCACCCACAAAGCCCCCACTAGAGCCTTCCTCTGAGGCGAGCCAGAATGTTAATAGACACTTAAAGGTCTATGAAAGCTGCCGTGTTTAAAAAAAACACAGGAGAGCAGGGGTCAAGCTCCCTCCCTCACTCCTTCCCTGAGCCGACAATCTTTTCTGAAGCCTGCTGCACAAAATCCAACAGGAGACCGATGTGTGTGTGACTCAGTCAACCACCGGTTGCTGCTGGGCCCTAAAGAGACTCACCCCATCACGGATGAGCTCAAACGGGGAGATGCCGGCTTAGATCAATCAGGGGGTGAGGGGGCCGGAGGGAGGAAGGGGGAGCTGAGGATTGGGGGAGGGGCCAGCAAAAACAGCGGGGAGGGGAGGCCCCACGGGCCCCACATTAGCTACGGGCCTCCCCTGAGCCCGTTTACGGGGAGGGCAGTATATAAATCAAATAAATCAAAATAAAATAAAATAAAAAGCAGCAATGGTGGAAGCCTCTCGTCTGGCCACGTTTCTGCCCCTCAGCTTCCCTGGCTTCACAGTTATTCTTCTGCTGGCACTCACGTCGATCCCAGCTGTTATTGTGCAGAAGAACCCAGCCCCAAAACAGAAACAAGGTGATCATTAGGACTGGAACCAGTTTTTAAAAACTTACCATGAGTCCTTGAGGACCTTTCGGGCCTTGAATTCCCTTGAACCCGAGATCTCCAGGGGGTCCCTACGGATATAAACTTCAGAGGTCAACCCCAGAAAGAATCCCACCCACTCGAAAAGCACAAAACTTTGTTGCACTAGTGATACTGCACTATCAAATCTCCAAGAAATGAAGAAATCTCCTCCCCACCACCACACGGCTTTATCTATCTCCAAGGACCAATCAGATTCCAATGTTCAGAGAAGATACCTCTGTGAGAGACCCTGGAGAAACACTTTCAGGAACTGTAGCAGCCCAAGCCAAAAGAAACATTTCGGGTAACACCCACAAGACTATGCAGTTTCCCCTTCCATGAAAGACCAATCAGATTTCCCAGCAGGGGCCCGTTTCAAGTGGGTGGTTCCATGAGCCAGTCAGGACGACCAGATGTCTTTCAGAAAGGCTGTGACAAAACTGGGAAAGGGGATGAGCTCCAGTGATGCTAGTGTGCATTCAGATCTGATGTGGAGCTTTGATGAGGTTATCCTGATTTTTCTACCTGTTGGCTTTGGTCTTGCCTAGCAAGAAATACAAGTGACAAGTCTCTAGGCTGCTATTAAGAGTCTAAGACAGGGGGTGGCCAAACTCGCTTAACGTAAGAGCCACACAGAAGTCACATCAGATGTCTGAGAGCTGCAAGACATGAACAAATATTACACACCGTTTTAATGGAAAATATGCAACTTTGCTTTTTATTAACATTAAATAAGCCTGCCAGAAATACAAAAGGGGTAAAAACAGATATTGATAATGATATTTAAAAAGAGAAATGCTTTCTCTAAGCCGGCTAGGGGGGTGGGGGCTTTGAGAACATATTTAAAGTTGCTTTCTTTCTCTGCCCTCCCCCCACCTTACACCTACCCAGGGAGGGGAACACCGGCTGGGGAAGGGAAGACCGCCTCCCCTTCGCTTCCCCAGCCACCCTGCCGGGAGCCGCACATCATGTGTGAAAGAGCTGCACGTGGGCTCCCGAGCCACAGTTTGGCCACCCTTGGTCTAAGAGGTCCTGGGGCTGGCTGTTCATTGTTCCTTGGAGGCCCTCTTCCCTCCTCATTGCACCGTGTCAATATCACTTTGTTCTTATGGGAAAACAGACATACATGCAATCTTTTAATAAATCCGTGTCTGGTGTCAGGAATTATGCTAGAGCTGTGTGTCTTGAAAAGGGAAAGGGAAAAAATACAAATGCAAATGGGATCCTTCCACTGTTTTAGTGATTTGTGGGCCTCAGGTTAGTGGCGTTCTGGAAGTAGATGACTGACAACTGCCTAGAACTATTTCTTCAGCTACCACAAACCCCTGCTGAGCCAGTTAAGTTCTCCTTGCTAGCTATTGGGGGGGGGATGTGCAGATCTGTCCTCGCAGAGGAGGGAGAGCTTGTACCTGAATAAAACCTGGTCTTAAAGGTGCCACTGGACTGTTTTGGATTGCTAGCTATGGGGGGGGGACACACACAGATCTGCCCTCACAGAGGAAGGAGAGCTTGTACCTGAAGACGGGCCGGGGGGGGGGGAAGGGGGGCCTCTGCAACTTACCTGGCTGCTTCTTGCTCCTTGTGGCCCAACTGAGGGCTGCTGGGAGCAGGGGGCGGGGCTTGCTGCATGTGCCCACCCCCTGGGGTCCTTACTGCTGGAGCTCCACTCCTGTGCGTTCCCACAGGAAATGACCCCTGGTTTCACATATATAGGCAGATATGTATCTGAAGAAGTGTGCGCATGTACACGAAAGCTCATGCCTTGAATAAACTTTTGTTGGTCTCAAAGGTGTTATTGGACTCTAAATTTGTTTTACGGCTTCAGACCAACATGGCTGGCTGCCTGGATCTGTTCTAGTCATAGAAGACCTGCTTTTCCACGCATGACTCCAGCATAGCTGTGGTGTTCTTTAAATGCCCAACCATTGGGGGGGGGGACTGCCCAGATCCTAATCAGGCACCACCAACAAGAGTGCACGTGCCAATTCTGGGGGGGGGGAGTTAGATGCAATCGGGGGCCCTGTCATCGGTCCCTCTGAACACTCCTCCAGCCATGCAGGAGCTGCTCGTAAAAAAGAGCTTCCATGCAGCTTAGGGTCAGAAGGGCCTTTAAAAGTTTCCTCAGTTAACATGCTGGCTTGACTTGACATGGTATTTATACACACAGTGACCTCACCTTTGGCCCAAACAGTCCGGCAATCCCTGGAAATCCTGATTCACCAAAGTCTCCCTGGAAGTTAAAAAGAAAAAAAGTGTTTAGTTTAAACCAGTGACCAAAGCACACCACAGCTCATGAGTTCGCATGGCAAAGCCGGGCTACCTGCAAGCCAAACTGAGTTTAACAGATTGTGGAAAGAGAGCTTCCAGCCATTTGCTTTTTTGGTCCAACAGCGTCTTTGCAAACTTGGCAAGATGCAAACAGGAAAGATCACATTAAGGATTAATTGGAGCAGAGAGGCATTTGGGGGTAAGCAGGGGTGGGCTGCGGTGGCTCAAGTGGTTAAGACGCTGAACTGCAGGTCGGTAGTTCGGCAGTTCGAGACCCGAGGGCCACATGACGGAGTGATGGCCTCAGCTCCTGCCAACCTAGCAGTTCGAAAACAAGAATTTGTAAGCAGATAAATAGGTACCGCTGTGGAGGGAAGGTAACAGCATTCCGTGCGCCTCGGTGTCTAGTCACGCCAGCCACATGACCACGGAAATGTCTTTGGACAGCGCTGGCTCTTCGGCTTGGAAACGGAGATGAGCACCGCATCCCTAGAGTCGGATTTGACTGGCTTTCGAGCAAGAGAAACTTTTACCTTTACCTTTACCTAGGGGTGGGAGCAGGGTATGCTCATGCCTAGATGTACAATTTCCCCACAGTACGTACTACACAAAGATTTCATAAGGGTAGTGCTTTTAGATCAAGTCTGTTTCCCTTCTGGCGTGCATTGTCATCTGCAGTCACTGTGCAATGGGAACCACGTGGTACGAGACAAGATGTCTGAAGGAGTCCCTTAAGGCATCACATACAAACAGTTCTACCGATCAGAACAATGGTCCACCTAGTCTAGCATCCTATTTCTGACACTGGCTAACCAGATATTCCCCATAAATCCTGCAAGCAGGGCACAGAGGCCAAAGTGTCTCTCTTTTAAAGCCTTATAAGGGCCAAAATACACATGATAATATACACAGTTCTGCTGCAGGGACTGGCAGACATATTGCAGTTTCAGTGGAAAGTCCATTTAAGAGCGCCGTGGGGACCTGCAAGCAGGAATTCACAGCTGCAGTACGGCTGTGAGCCCCTGTGGCAGACTTGCGTACGTTGTAATGTGCAGTTTGGCGCTACATGAGTGATCAGTGCTCTGTACGCAAGTTGTTTATGTGTTGTGTGAAGAAGTTCTTCCTTTTTCCTACCCTGAATCCATTTCTCATGAGCTCTTTTGGATGCTCTTGAGCTTTGAGGGAGAAAGAAAATGGTCCCAGAACAAGCTGCAAAGACCTGGATCATACGGCCCTATCCACTGGGCCCCTACCAGATGAACTCATCCCACGGGGCTTTCTTTCCAGTCAACAGGATGATAACAAAGCCAGTGCCCTAAAGGAACAAGAACCCCTGGGCCTTGAACATCTGTGCTTGGAAAGGGCAATACTAGAATCGATAGTTTCAGGAGGACCGTGACAACGAATCCCAAGTGGAACGTATCCTAATTTCTGCAGCCACAGGACTCAATTTCCCATCTCTTGACCTTTGCATAAGAAATGGGAAAGGCTGCTGGAACATTTGAGGAGAAGACAAAAACGACCCTGGATGAGTCACTGACATATCACTGATGTGGGGAAACAAACTATTTATGGCCGGGGCTGCCTCGGCTGCGCTGTATTCCAAAGGGGCTTGTTCAGCTTGGCTGTAAATGACTCAGACGATGGGGTTTCCACCACTTCTGTTGCAAAAAGCCCTAATGTCCTTTGGCACTGGGGAAACTTTTCCTGCCATGTTCGTGAGACATATTCTGGCAAGGCAAGACTTGTTCAGAATCTAGGGAGTGTGAGTAGCTTTCCAGGGATCCATAAATGTGAAAATTGAAGCTATGCCAATAACACACACACACACAAACACACACACACACACACACAAAGCATTTTTAAGACATCTCTTTAAAGACTCCTGGAAAGGAAGCGGGCTACAAACTCCAAAATGGGGGAAAGCTCCATCAAAGAATATTTATCAAACACTTGGAGGCTTGTACAATGCCCCCGGGTCAATTTTGTTCCGATTTATTTATATCCCATGTTCCCCTCCACACAACGATGCTCAAAGCAGCTTACAACCAGCATGAACCTAAAACAGGCGCAGTGCAAAATCCTGGGTTGAATGCAGAAGGAGAAGAAGAAGGAGAAGAGAAGAAGATATTGGATTTATACCGAGACCCAAAGGAGTCTCAGAGCGGCTCACAAACTCCTTTCCCTTCCCCTCCCCACAACAGACACCCTGTGAGGTAGGTGGGGCTGAGAGAGCTCTTGACAGAAACTGCTCTTTTTCAAGGACAGCTCTGACAGAACTATGGCTTGTCCAAGGTCATCCAGCCAGGTGCAAGAGGAGGAGTGGGGAATCAAACCCGGTTCTCCCAGGTAAGAGTCCGCGCACTTAACCACTACACCAAACTGGCTCGCAGAAGGTAGAATTGCATGGTCAAACTTCAGGCATGTAAAAACTGCTGTTAACCTGGCTAGGCAAGAATGGTTATTCCTGCCCTGTTATTCTTATGCTACCCCTAACTAAGATGAGACTTTCTCTGTGGATGCAAGTCTTAAATGTTAAATAGCTATTACATCTTACAAAAGTGGCTATTCTTGAGCCCGCTTACTGGGCCTGCCAGCATCCCAGCATCAATAAACAAATCAATTATTGATTTCTTTATATACAAACACTGTCTTTCCTCCTCAACTAAATGCAAATGGCTCCAGTTTTTGGAATGGATTCCACTGTACAGCCAGTAATCTCTTGGGCAGTCATCAATGTCTTGGCTTTATGATCAGCTATTGTTCATCTGTGGCTACTTCAGAGAGAGTCAGACCCAGTGCTCCCTCTAAGCTGTGGAGTCCTGTGAGCAGAAATTCTACTTTGTGAGCTACTGGCATTAAAGTTGTGAGCGAGTGATTTGGCTACGGCAGAAATAAGTTCGCTCTGGAGCCATCCTTCCCGAGCGAAGACAAAAATGTGTGAGCCGGAGGCTAAAAAACTGTGAGCTAGCTCACACCAACTCAGCTTAGAGGGAACACTGGTCAGGCCATTGCTTCAACCGGCCCTGTGTGTCTGTCCTGATTAGCGATGGCTCTCCAGGCAGCGAAAGGCCTTTCCTTTCCCAGAGAGACTTGCCCATCTCCTCCCGCTGCTGCCTTCTGCCGGCAGGTGAAAACTCCTCAGGAGAGCCAGTTTGGTGTAGTGGTTAAGTGCGCGGACTCTAATCTGGGAGAACCGGATTTGATTCCCCACTCCTCCACTTGCACCTGCTGGTGTGACCTTGGGTCAGTCACAAGCTCTGTCAGAGCTGTTCTCTCAAGGACTGTTCTTGAAAGAGCTCTCTCAGCCCCACCCACCTCACAGGGTGTCTGTTGTGGGGAGGGGAAGGGAAAGGAGACTGTAAGCCGCTCTGAGACTCCAAGTGAAGGGCCATGGGGTATAAATCTAATCTCTTCTTCTTCTTCTTCTTCGTTTGGCTTTCCAGCAGTGATCCCTCCATCCCGCCCTGTTTTTAACGGTTGTTTTATGTATTTTATTGGTACCGTATATGTATTTTAGCTTGGTTTTTTAACTGTTTTGAATGAGGTGTTTTTGTTTGATTCGCATGGTTTTTAAGATGTACTTTTATGACGTATGCCTTTAATCTGTTCGCCGCCTTGGTGGCTTCTTAGATGAGGCCAGAAAGGCGGGGTATAAATTCTGTAGATAAATAAGAAAAGAGTAGATTTCCTATCACCAAATACCCAAGATCCTTGAACTGGAAATTGAGCAGGGGGAACGTCTAATGGGCGGTATCGTTGAGCTGATTCCCAAGTGGCCTCCTCGGGGGCAGGACGGAGCGAAAGCAGGAAATATTTTCGAGAGACCCCGTCTACTTACCGGCTGCCCCTTTGGACCGGGCTCCCCAGGGCTTCCGGGGAGGCCCGTTCCACCCGGTGGCCCTCGCTTCCCCAACAGGCCTGCCTGCCCAGGCAATCCGCTTTCACCCTATGGGAAACAAAACAGCATCAGTAGAACTCAAAACAGCATCAGGATAATCCCAAGAGAAAATGCAAGGGAGCCTGCCTTCTCCATTCCACCACTGAAGCTGGGCTCTGTTCTGCTGATGAAGCAGTTACGGGTCTGCTGGAAGGAAGGAAGGAAGGAAGGAAGGAAGGAAGGAAGGAAGGAAGGAAGGAA